ATCATCAGTATACACAACACTGTCAATACACACATCATCAGTATACACAACACTGTCAGTACACACATCATCAGTATACACAACACTGTCAGTACACACATCATCAATATACACAACACTGTCAGTACACACATCATCAGTATACACAACACTGTCAGTACACACATCATCAGTATACACAACACTGTCAGTACACACATCATCAATATACACAACACTGTCAGTACACACATCATCAGTATACACAACACTGTCAGTACACACATCATCAGTATACACAACACTGTCAGTACACACATCATCAGTATACACAACACTGTCAGTACACACATCATCAATATACACAACACTGTCAGTACACACATCATCAGTATACACAACACTGTCAATACACACATCATCAGTATACACAACACTGTCAATACACATCATCAATATACACAACACTGTCAGTACACACATCATCAATATACACAACACTGTCAATACACACATCATCAGTATACACAACACTGTCAATACACACATCATCAGTATACACAACACTGTCAATACACATCATCAATATACACAACACTGTCAGTACACACATCATCAGTATACACAACACTGTCAGTACACACATCATCAGTATACACAACACTGTCAGTACACACATCATCAGCATACACAACACTGTCAGTACACACATCATCAGTATACACAACACTGTCAATACACACATCATCAGTATACACAACACTGTCAGTACACACATCATCAGTATACACAACACTGTCAGTACACACATCATCAGTATACACAACACTGTCAGTACACACATCATCAGCATACACAACACTGTCAATACACACATCATCAATATACACAACACTGTCACTACACACATCATCAGCATACACAACACTGTCAGTACACACATCATCAGTATACACAACACTGTCAATACACACATCATCAGTATACACAACACTGTCAGTACACACATCATCAGCATACACAACACTGTCAATACACACATCATCAGTATACACAACACTGTCAATACACACATCATCAGTATACACAACACTGTCAGTACACACATTATCAGCATACACAACACTGTCAGTACACACATCATCAGTATACACAACACTGTCAGTACACACATCATCAATATACACAACACTGTCAGTACACACATCATCAGTATACACAACACTGTCAGTACACATCATCAATATACACAACACTGTCAGTACACACATCATCAGTATACACAGTACTGTCAGTACACACATCATCAGCATACACAACACTGTCAGTACACACATCATCAATATACACAACACTGTCAGTACACACATTATCAGCATACACAACACTGTCAGTACACACATCATCAGTATACACAACACTGTCAGTACACACATCATCAATATACACAACACTGTCAGTACACACATCATCAGTATACACAACACTGTCAGTACACACATCATCAGTACACACAACACTGTCAGTACACACATCATCAGTATACACAACACTGTCAGTACACACATCATCAATATACACAACACTGTCAGTACACACATCATCAGTACACACAACACTGTCAGTACACACATCATCAGTATACACAACACTGTCAGTACACACATCATCAGTATACACAACACTGTCAGTACACACATCATCAGCATACACAACACTGTCAGTACACACATCATCAATATACACAACACTGTCAGTACACACATTATCAGCATACACAACACTGTCAGTACACACATCATCAGTATACACAACACTGTCAGTACACATCATCAGTATACACAACACTGTCAGTACACATCATCACCATACACAAAACTGTCAATACACACATCATCAGTATACACAACACTGTCAATACACACATCATCAGTATACACAACACTGTCAATACACACATCATCAGTATACACAGCACTGTCAGTACAGACATCATCAGTATACACAACACTGTCAATACACATCATCAATATACACAACACTGTCAGTACACACATCATCAGTATACACAACACTGTCAATACACATCATCAATATACACAACACTGTCAGTACACACATCATCAGTATACACAGTACTGTCAGTACACACATCATCAGTATACACAACACTGTCAGTACACACATCATCAATATACACAACACTGTCAGTACACACATCATCAGTATACACAACACTGTCAGTACACACATCATCAATATACACAACACTGTCAGTACACACATCATCAGCATACACAACACTGTCAGTACACACATCATCAGTATACACAACACTGTCAGTACACACATCATCAGTATACACAACACTGTCAGTACACACATCATCAGTATACACAACACTGTCAATACACACATCAACAGTATACACAACACTGTCAGTACACACATCATCAGTATACACAACACTGTCAGTACACACATCATCAATATACACAACACTGTCAGTACACACATCAACAGTATACACAACACTGTCAGTACACACATCATCAGTACACACAACACTGTCAGTACACATCATCAGTATACACAGCACTGTCAGTACACACATCATCAGTATACACAACACTGTCAATACACACATCATCAGTATACACAACACTGTCAATACACACATCATCAGTATACACAACACTGTCAGTACACACATCATCAGTATACACAACACTGTCAGTACACACATCATCAGTATACACAACACTGTCAGTACACACATCATCAGTATACACAACACTGTCAGTACACACATCATCACCATACACAACACTGTCAGTACACATCATCAGTATACACAACACTGTCAGTACACACATCATCAGTATACACAACACTGTCAGTACACACATCATCAGTATACACAACACTGTCAGTACACACATCATCAATATACACAACACTGTCAGTACGCACATCATCAGTATACACAACACTGTCAGTACACACATCATCAATATACACAACACTGTCAATACACACATCATCAGTATACACAACACTGTCAGTACACACATCATCAGTATACACAACACTGTCAGTACACACATCATCAGTATACACAACACTGCCAATGCACACAAGATGACTATACAACACTGTCAAGGCACACAACGCTGAAGACCACACTGCAAGTATAAACAACACTGCACACAACAATGTCAATATACACACTAAATACAACACTGCACACAACAATGTCAATATACACACTAAATACAACACTACACACTGAGACACCGAACGCTTGTCCAGAGAAGATACAGAGATGTATTTATTTGTTTGTTCATTTGTTGTTGAACGCCGCACTCAGCAATATTCCAGCTATATGACGGGGTTCTGTAAATAATCGAGTCTGGACCAGACAATCCAGTGATTGACATCATAAGCATCGATCTACGCAATTGGGATACGGTGACATGCATTAACCAAGTTAGCGAGCCTGACCACTCAATCCCGTTAGTCCCCTTTTACGACAAGCATGGGTTGTTGAGGACTTATTCTACCCTGCATAACGGGTCAGATACAAAGACAAAACACGGACACACGCGAGACCGACGCGACCAACACACATGAGGTCAGCGAGACCGACGGGAACAACACGCATCAGGTCAGCCAGACCGACGGGACCAACACACATTAGGTCAGCAAGACCAACGCGACCAACACACATTAGGTCAGCGAGACCGACGGGACCAACACACATTAGGTCAGCCAGACCGACGGGACCAACACACATTAGGTCAGCAAGACCAACGCGACCAACACACATTAGGTCAGCGAGACCGACGGGACCAACACACATTAGGTCAGCCAGACCGACGGGACCAACACACATTAGGTCAGCAAGACCAACGCGACCAACACACATTAGGTCAGCGAGACCGACGGGACCAACACGCATCAGGTCAGCGAGACCGACGGGAACAACACACATTAGGTCAGCCAGACCGACGGGACCAACACACATTAGGTCAGCGAGACCGACGGGACCAACACGCATCAGGTCAGCGAGACCGACGGGACCAACACACATTAGGTCAGCCAGACCGACGGGAACAACACGCATCAGGTCAGCGAGACCGACGGGAACAACACGCATCAGGTCAGCGAGACCGACGCGACCAACACACATTAGGTCAGCCAGACCGACGGGACCAACACCCATCAGGTCAGCGAGACCGACAGGAACAACACGCATCAGGTCAGCGAGACCGACGGGAACAACACACATTAGGTCAGCCAGACCGACGGGACCAACACGCATCAGGTCAGTGAGACCGACGGGAACAACACACATTAGGTCAGCCAGACCGACGGGACCAACACGCATCAGGTCAGTGAGACCGACGGGAACAACACGCATCAGGTCAGCGAGACCGACGGGAACAACACGCATCAGGTCAGCGAGACCGACGGGAACAACACACATTAGGTCAGTGAGACCGACGGGACCAACACACATCAGGTCAGCCAGGCCGACGCACATATGAACTGTAACTAGTTCAGTGAAGTACGTTTCAAGTACAACTAAATCTAATAGACAACTTTCAAAGTTCGAAAATTGTTTATCCCGTATAGACATACATCCATGTTTTAACAAATGTGAAAGGTTGTGACGAATTGCAGATAGGCAATTTTTTGTTTTCAACTCTTAACTGTTTGTGAATGTTCGTTTCAGGTACTTTAACTTTAGGACCCGTAAAGATCCGGGGTAGAATAGATCTTCAGCACCACATACCTGCCGTAAGAGGCGACTAACGGGATTGGGTGGTCAGGCTCGCTGACTTGGTTGATACATGTCACCATATCCCAATTGTATGGATCGATGCTCATGATATCAATCACTGGATTGTCTGGTACAGACTCAATTATTTGAGATTGCTGAGTGCAGCGTTAAACAACAAAACAAACAAACAAACAAAACTTTAACTTTACTAACCCAAATGTCCTGATATTTCCAGAAGCCGCTTGTTGTAACAGTTTCCGCCAATGAACACAACACGGCGCTACGAGACATATGGCTTCCAGGTGGACGGAGATGTCAACGTGGTGCAGGACGTCCCTTCTACCGACGAGGAGAGGAACCAAGCCCTCTGGCCGGCGTTGTTGTACGTCGGACTGATCATTGTGACGGGGACGGTTGGGAACATCGTTGTCTGCTACGTCTACGGCTACAGGCTGCGTCTGACCGTCACTAAACAGTTTATATTGGTCCTCGCCGTCCTTGACCTTGCAAACTGCTTAATCTGTGCACCAACAGAGATGGTGGTCATGTTCAAGATCGTGTCGTTTAATGCGCCAATTTGGTGCAAGATGTCGCGCTTTATAACCTACACACTGAATGGTTCGACGTCACTGATATTATTAGCTATCGCTGTGGACAGATACTGTAAGGTGTGCAGACCTCTGAAAGTCTGTTTCACCAGAGTATGGGCGAGGAGAATGTGCATGATGGCCGTTATTCTATCACTGATCATGTCATGGCCGTCTTTGATTCTATACGGAAATAAAACTATCCGTGTTGGCGACACACACAATGGTACCACCTGCCTGATACAAGACGAATTCGAAAACACCTGGTACCCGCTCATATTCTATTCAATATTTTTTGTGAGCTTTCTGGCTATTGCAATAGCAATTATCTCCCTTTATGCGAAAATCGCAAGGCAGATCAGGTTACTAAGGCAACGACAGGACGAACGCATCCGAAGCAGCCCTGTTCATAGACGGATATCGGGGTATGTGGACAGCCCTGAATATAGTGAAGACAATGTGCTAGATAACACCCTTGCAGTTACCGCAGGTGACAATCAGTTAAAGCCCCCCTCCCCCCGAGCTAACCAACACGCAGTGAAGCTGGCCCAAGCCTTACTGAAAGACCTCCACAAGAGGAAGACTGCCTACAAGCCGGCCAAGTCCACGCTCATGCTCTTCATCATCACAATCATCTTTATGCTGAGTTTTTTGCCTTTCTTCATCACTGCTTTGATTCGGGGAGCTGTGCGGGAAATGTTTCTGGCGAATTTGACTGACACCTCGGAGATTATAGTGTTCAACATATTCGTGCGCTCCTACCTGCTGAGTAACGCCGCCAACCCTGTCATCTACAGCTTCTGTAACGCCAGGTTCCGGCGCGAGTGCCGGCCCATATTCTGCCCGTGTTGGAAGAAGCCAGAAAGCAATGTTGAAATTAAGGTGGAGCATACGGACAATACGCAGTCTATTCTGTGACAGACTTGCGATTACAAGCCATTAATACTCAGTGTTCAGGAGATTATCGCAAGATATCCATTGATTTTCAGGCTTATCACAATGTTAAACAAGAAAAAAATAACTGTTTCCTCGCTCCGAGGTAGCAAACCACTATGCAGCATTGACCTCATAGACTCCATAGCAGCATAGACCTAACTGTTACTCCACTCCGAGGTAGCCAATCACCACTAAGCATAGACCCCCCAAACTGTTACCCAACTCCGAGGTAGCCAATCACCACTAAGCAAAGATTCACTAACTGTTACCCCACTCCGAGGTAGCCAATAACCACTGAGCATAGACCCCCCTAACTGTTACCCCACTTCGAGGTAGCCAATCACCACTAAGCATAGATTCCCTAACTGTTATCCCACTTCGAGATAGCTAATCACCACTAAGCATATACCCCCCCTAACTGTTACCCCACTTCGAGGTAGCTAATCACCACTAAGCATAGATTCCCTACTGTTACCCCACTCCGAGGTAGCCAATGACCACTAAGCATAGATTCCCTAACTGTAACCCCACTCCGAGGTAGCCAATCACCACTAAGCATAGATTCCCTAACTGTAACCCAACTCCGAGGTAGCCAATCACCACTGAGCATAGACCCCCCAAACTGTTACCCAACTCCGAGGTAGCCAATCACCACTAAGCAAAGATTCACTAACTGTTACCCCACTCCGAGGTAGCCAATAACCACTGAGCATAGACCCCCCTAACTGTTACCCCACTTCGAGGTAGCCAATCACCACTAAGCATAGATTCCCTAACTGTTATCCCACTCCGAGGTAGCCAATCACCACTAAGCATAGATTCCCTAACTGTAACCCCACTCCGAGGTAGCCAACCATCACTGAGAACTGCTTCCTTGGTTGTCGGGAAAGATTCTAGTTTGCTCCGACAGCGACAGCATCAACACACACTGGATGTGCCTTGCAGCGAAAGCAGCGCTGAATGATGTCATTACAAAGAATCTCATCGTCGATGAAAATATTGATATTTATTTGTGCTGGGCATGTTAATATATGAACTCGTGATCAATGCAATAATATTGTTAATGTTTTAATCGCCAAGACGGAATCACTTTTCATTGTTGGAATGACTCTCTGAAATACACACCAAGAAGAAAGTTTCTCTGAAAACATCGCGCCATCTCGGATTTAATTGGTAAACTCATTCATGGTGAAATAAAAACAGTTGCCCAAAGCTAACACATACATGTTTACTTGCAGTTCTAACCGATTGTCATCTCTGACATTGAGAAATCGACTCAGAACAGCAGGTTTGAGGTGAGGGAGGGTGATTAAGTGACCCATACGCTCAGATCGTCATCGCAGGGACCGTTTGGCATGGTGTATGGTGAAACGTGGCATTAACTTAAGGCCATGTAGGATCCACTTGTCGGATGAGAACAGGTTCTTGTTGTTCATGTTACATGTTAAAGACGGACGTGTTACAGACAGACATGTGTTACAGACAGACGGACATGTTACAGACGGACGTGTTACAGACGGACATGTTACAGACGGACGTGTTACAGACGGTGGAGTGACAGACGCACATGTGTTACAGACGGACATGTTACAGACGTGCTACAGAGATATGTGTAACAGACAGACATATGTTTTTCACACAGACGGACATGTCATAGTCAGATGTGTTACAGACGGGCATGTTACAGACGGACGTTTTACAGAGATTTGTGTTACGGACAGACGGACATGTAACAGACGTGTTTCAGACGGACGTGATACAGAGGGACATTTTACAGACGGACGTTTTACAGACAGACATGTGTTACGGACAGACGGACATGTTACAGACGAAAGATCTACCCTGTCTATACTTCCATCAGTGTCTAGATCTACCCAGTCCACACACCCATCAGTGTCTAGATCTACCCAGTCCACACTTCCATCAGTGTCTAGATCTACCCAGGCCACACTTCCATCAGTGTCTAGATCTACCCAGTCCACACTTCCATCAGTGTCTAGATCTACCCAGTCAATACTTCCATCAGTGTCTAGATCTACCCAGTCAATACTTCCATGGGAGTCTAGATCTACCCAGTCCACACTTCCATCAGTGTCTAGATCTACCCAGTCCACACTTCCATCAGTGTCTAGATCTACCCAGTCCACACTTCCATCAGTGTCTAGATCTACCCAGTCCACACTTCCATCAGTGTCTAGATCTACCCAGTCCACACTTCCATCAGTGTCTAGATCTACCCAGTCAATACTTCCATCAGTGTCTAGATCTACCCAGTCAATACTTCCATGGGAGTCTAGATCTACCCAGTCCACACTTCCATCAGTGTCTAGATCTACCCAGTCCACACTTCCATCAGTGTCTAGATCTACCCAGTCCACACTTCCATCAGTGTCTAGATCTACCCAGTCCACACTTCCATCAGTGTCTAGATCTACCCAGTCAATACTTCCATCAGTGTCTAGATCTACCCAGTCCACACTTCCATCAGTGTCTAGATCTACCCAGTCCACACTTCCATCAGTGTCTAGATCTACCCAGTCCACACTTCCATCAGTGTCTAGATCTACCCAGTCCACACTTCCATCAGTGTCTAGATCTACCCAGTCCACACTTCCATCAGTGTCTAGATCTACCCAGTCAATACTTCCATGGGAGTCTAGATCTACCCAGTCCACACTTCCATCAGTGTCTAGATCTACCCAGTCCACACTTCCATCAGTGTCTAGATCTACCCAGTCCACACTTCCATCAGTGTCTAGATCTACCCAGTCCACACTTCCATCAGTGTCTAGATCTACCCAGTCCACACTTCCATCAGTGTCTAGATCTACCCAGTCAATACTTCCATCAGTGTCTAGATCTACCCAGTCAATACTTCCATCAGTGTCTAGATCTACCCAGTCAATACTTCCATCAGTGTCTAGATCTACCCAGTCAATACTTCCATCAGTGTCTAGATCTACCCAGTCCACACTTCCATCAGTGTCTAGATCTACCCAGTCCACACTTCCATCAGTGTCTAGATCTACCCAGTCCACACTTCCATCAGTGTCTAGATCTACCCAGTCCACACTTCCATCAGTGTCTAGATCTACCCAGTCAATACTTCCATCAGTGTCTAGATCTACCCAGTCAATACTTCCATGGGAGTCTAGATCTACCCAGTCCACACTTCCATCAGTGTCTAGATCTACCCAGTCCACACATCCATCAGTGTCTAGATCTACCCAGTCCACAATTCCATCAGTGTCTCGATCTAGCCATCATATATTTAAAATCAACACCAAGTGTCTGAAAATGTTGGGATTAAAAGTACATGTCTATATTGTTTGGCTTCTAATCCTAGCATAATTAATCTTTTGTGACGTTTTTGAGCCCGTTTGGCCGTCTTAATCATTTTTAGTCAATCTATTATTTAAATGAACAGATTTTTCAATTTGTAAAATGACTGAAATATTTAGACAGTTTATAAATTGCCTGCGTGAATCACATTTTACACATTGACTATAACATATACACGCTTACAAAACAACGTCGAAGAACTTCCCAACCAAGACGTAGAGAAACAAGAATGATTCTGTTCAATGCTACAGCAAATGAATGAAAACAAAATGCAAACATCATACTTACAACCTACCAAAGTTATATGTATAATTTTAGGCAGCTTCCTTGCTTGAGGAATGTATCCGTGAATATCCACACAATGGATCAATATCCAACGCGTCTGCAGCTGTACAAAGAAACTTATTCGATGTCACGTGTCTCTGTAACAATCAAATATATTAAAATATCGTTTCGGGATATTATAACCTGTGTTTGTTTCTCAACTGATCACTTTGTTTGTTTCAGTTGTTTCACATAGGTGTCAAGTCTCAAAGGTCAGCTGAGAAAGCCCACGTGACAACTATTTTCATAATGTCCACGGTTCTTAAAAAAATCTATTTAGTTAGCTAACATTGAGCAATCAATCAACGTATTGTCGGTTAACCCTTTGAACAAAGTATCTTGTTTTTACCTCGGCACTTCACGCCATGATATGAGTGTATTCCCTTTGCTTTAGTAAACCGACACATGTAAACACTTACTTTTGACAAATCCACTGTGCAAGATAACAGTGATTAATCAGTCAACGTATTTTCTGTTGATCCTTTAATGGAGAGGAATGATTTACAAAAAAGTAACATTTCACCTCACTTCAAACCTGGATTTAGACACACGAAATGCCAAATGGGAACCTTTATCAGGTAATCTGAGTGGTGCTACCACTAATTATACCAGTAATATATTCAATAACTGAGCATCAAGTGAATGACGACTAGTACACACGTGTAGGGTTATACCAGAAAACATGGAAGACAACAAGTGAGTAGCAATCGTATTGTCCACGCAATCCGAAATCCGAAAATGCTTTCACTGCAGGGATATTTTTTTATTATTAAACTATAACTATTAAACTATAACGACATCCAATGAGCTTCCGTTGTTCTTTTTGTCTCTTATTTAGACTGGAGAAATTAATTGACATGCGCCCTTTGTCGAAATCTTCATAGATCACGGGTAACCAGTGTTCAAAAATGCGTAAAACAAATATTGCCTCCAAGTTGTTCAGCTGGCGAGTAAGCTTGTATGTACATCGTTCTCGGAGGGAAATCTTCTCTAAGTTTGCACGTATCTTTCTCTCTCACACAGCGCGTGTGGCCTGCCATACAGCAGCAAACATTTCCATTTTCTGCTTTACATCGACAAGCCTGCTTTATATCGACAAGCCTGCTTTACATCGACAAGCCTGCTTTACATCGACAAGCCTGCTTTATATCGACAAGCCTGCTTTACATCGACAGGTCAACAGTGGTTGCCCTCGCTCGCCGACTTCGGGTGTTCAGCAGCCAGCGGCCAGCGGACGCCAGCGAGAATTGTTTGTGTACGTGCTTCAGAACGTGTGTGTGTGTGTGTGTGTGTGTGTGTGTGTGTGTGTGTGTGTGACGCTACATCCACATCCCCCTGTTGTTACATTATGTCAGATCGTCGCGACAGTCACAATTAAACAATCCATCTGAGGCGCACGTAAAATCTCTTCCGCCACCCAAACATTCATCTGATAATCAAGCGGATCATTTTCACAAAACTAAATCGCAGCCCAAACACACGTTGCTTCCTCTAAGGAGTATGACATAGTTGAGACAAATGCATGTCGTTGTTATATAACACAGATTATTACTGACGATCACTCTCCACAAAATGGTCTATATATACCACCACGGACCTAGATTATATTGGTGACGTCCACGATACTATTTGTCTGTCCAGAGACCATATAATCATGACAATCGATGGTCTCTATTATATGGTCTCTGGTCTGTCTCATAGTCTCTTATCTCAACCATATTATTTTCCCCACTGCCTAGACCTTTCTGTAATGCAAAAGCCCTATAGTAGGTGAAGCAAGTCTGGATTTTCTTCAGGTTCTGAATCTCCCATCTGGTCGGGACTCCTTTTATTTTTAATTGGAATTAATTGTTTATGTATTTTTAGAGACTAAGCGTTAGTCGACGATACCATGTATACATTATACATACTGACGTCGAACGCCTTTGAGAGGCATTTAGAAGTTGGAGTACTAAGTAAGGATAAGATATATGGATGAACAACTTCTTTATCACAATATTAGGAGCGACGTTTCGGTGTAGGTTCTAACACCGTTAACTAACACCGTACAGAGTATGGTTGACAAGTATATATATATTGTCAACCATACTCTGTACACGACAGGAGGCAGTGGTGTTTATACATTTGAGTAGGGTTAAGATGCAGTTACACTGCTGGAGTAGTGAGACGTCGGGCAAAAGAATATTGTTTTAGCGGTGAGTTGTCAGGCCGATTCAGTTACTTCCCTTTTCAAAATGGCCGCACCCATGTGTTGCGTGTTCTGAGTAGTAAGTGAACAAAATACTGAACTGAAGATGAGAGTGAAGTTACTCAGTAGAAATCCAGATGACTACCTGAGAGAGACAAAGAGGGATATACACCGCGGTATGTATTGTCTGTTATATACGTCATCCTGACAAGCTTATGCAGGAGTTGATTTAAAAACATCTTGCTCCTTTCAAAAGTTACCAAACTAACTGGCCCATAACTAAATGATGGAGGCCGCGAAGCGGCTTAACCCGAGGTTACATAGCGAATATGTTACAGGGGAACTTCGAAAAGTTTAGAACTCCTCACACCTAAAACGTCTTTTCCCGCACTCTGAGATTAAATCTTGTTCTTCCATTTGCCTCCTATCTTGGCGATTTATGACCAAATAAGGATGTTGTTGTTGTACACAACATTACAGAATGGTTGTGTCATTCTACCGAGATGATGGGGATATATTTGAATATTTTCTCATCGAAATATATTGATTCTCGAGCAAAACTGAAAAAATTAAACATACACAGAGAAAGGGTGAAATTTTGACTAGCCAGACGGGCCATCTACTGACATTGCGGGAAGTCAGTTGAAGCCAGTTGAATTTTAACTGGCCAATGGGTCAGCAATTATATCGACCCCTGTATTAGGTAAGACATTGGTACAGCCCAGCTGAGAACTGTAGGGTCCAGCTGGCCACTGACAACACACAAACTACTGTTAGTATTGGTTTGTATGTTTGTTGTTTAACACCGCACTTAGAAATATTACAGCTATATGACAGCAGTCTGCGAATAATCAAGTCTTGACCAGACAATCCAGTGATTGACATCATGAGCATCGATCAACACAATTGGGATACGATGACATGCATCAAGCAAGTCAGTGAGTCTGACCACTCGATCCTGTTAGTAGCCTCTTACGACAAGCATTATTACGTCCTTGCAACATTATTCTGAGGGCTACTATGAACAACTATCAGTGTGTAGAAGGTTGAAATACATTGTGATAACTTTATCCCATTATGTCCATATGACATTATTGTGTGGACTCCCAACTGACATTGTGACAAGGTAGTGAAACGCGTTACCTCAAGGAGCGGAAGGTCGGATGGTCATTTCCCCGGCTGCATCATACTAAAAAAATGTTTACAGTGTAATGGTCTTATTGACTTCTGGAACTTCTGTTTAGGAGGTTCAACTTTCTAGTGAGTCAAAAGCACATGTCTGGTTTATAGCCATGTTTAATCAACTAAAGGGGAATAACTCACAATGATCTACAGTACAGTGCTGGTACAACAACTAGCTATAATAACTGTGTACATAGCACTCTGGTGGAACATGCTATAATGTAAACACATTAGATATATTTGACTTACTGCTACAAACATGACAAACAGATGGTACTTGTTGTTACCCTACCTGGAGCTTGGCATCAGGGGATAAAACTAGGACTGGTCAGCTCGGAGTTTGTCTACTGTGTCTGACTTAAGTATCCATCATAAACTGCAGCATGGTATCTTAGAGGGCAAGCACTTGAAATAGGACAAACGGATGCACACGCTCACATGCACGCAAACACAAAACACGATGTTAAATCCCACTTCACCTCACCTCACGATGAGGATGTCTTTCTGGTGAGAATATGCCTGGAAATAATGTATCTGTTGTCTAAATATCCAATTCGTGATGTATGCATTATTGATCATTATGATAAATTTACTTCATTATTTGTAATCAATTGAAAACAAACAAGTTTACAGATTTTCCAACTGACTGATAGAACATAAGAAGCAATGTGAAAGTTAATGTTAATGTTTTTTCATGTACATGTACATGGTCTGATCGTTAACGTCAATGTTTGTTCGTGGTTTACATGGTCTGGTCGTTAACATCAATGTTTGTTCGTGGATGTAAATGGTCTGGTCGTTAACGTCAATGTTTGTTCGTGGATGTACATGGTCTGGTTGTTAACGTCAATGTTTGTTAGTGGATGTACATGATGAGGTCGTTAACGTCAATTTTTGTTCGTGGATGTACATGGCCTGGTCGTTAACGTCAATGTTTATTTGTGGATGTATATGGTCTGGTCTTTAACGTCAATGTTTTTTTATGGATGTACATGGTCTGGTCGTTAACGTCGATGTTTGTTTGCAGATGTAAATGGTCTGGTTGATAACGTCAATGTTTGTTTCGTGGATGTACATGGTCTGGTTGTTAACGTCAATGTTTGTTCGTGGATGTACATGGTCTGGTTGTTAACGTCAATGTTTATATGTGGATGTACATGTTCTGGTCGTTAACATCAATGTTTATTCGTGGATGCACATGGTCTGGTCGTTAACATCAATGTTTATTTGTGGATGTACATGGTCTGGTCGTTAAAGTCAATGTTTGTTCGTGGATGTACATGGTCTGGTTGTTAACGTCAATGTTTATTTGTGGATGTACATGTTCTGGTCGTTAACATCAATGTTTATTCGTGGATGCACATGGTCTGGTCGTTAACATCAATGTTTGTTCGCGGATGTAAATGGTCTGGGTGTTAACGTCAATGTTTGTTCGTGGATGTACATGGTCTGGTTGTTAAGGTCAATGTTTGTTCGTGGATGTACATGGTCTGGTTGTTAACGTCAATGTTTGTTCGTGGATGTACATGGTCTGGTTGTTAACGTCAATGTTTATTTGTGGATGTACATGTTCTGGTCGTAAACATCAATGTTTATTCGTGGATGCACATGGTCTGGTCGTTAACGTCAATGTTTGTTCGTGGATGTACATGGCCTGGTCGATAATGTCAATGTTTGTTTCGTGGATGTACATGGTGAGGTCGTTAACGTCAATGTTTGTTCGTGGATGTACATGGCCTGGTCGTTAACTTCAATGTTTATTTGTGGATGTACATGGCCTGGTCGTTAATGTCAATGTTTGTTTCGTGGATGTACATGGTGAGGTCGTTAACGTCAATGTTTGTTCGTGGATGTACATGGCCTGGTCGTAAACCTCAATGTTTATTTGTGGATGTACATGGCCTGGTCGTTAATGTCAATGTTTGTTTCGTGGATGTACATGGTGAGGTCGTTAACGTCAATGTTTGTTCGTGGATGTACATGGTCTGGTTTATAACGTCAATATTTGTTCGTGGATGTACATGGTCTGGTCGTTAACGTCAATGTTTGTTCGTGGATGTACATGGTCTGGTCGTTAACGTCAATGTTTGTTCGTGGATGTACATGGCCTGGTCGTTAACGTCAATGTTTGTTAGTGGATGTACATGGTCTGGTCATTAACGTCAATGTTTATTCGTGGATGTACATGGCCTGGTCATTAACGTCAATGTTTGTTAGTGGATGTACATGGTCTGGTCGTTAACGTCAATGTTTGTTCATGGATGTACATGGTCTTGTCATTAACGTCAGTGTTTATTTGTGGATGTACATGGTCTGGTCGTTAACGTCAATGTTATTCGTGGATGTTCATGGTCTGGTCGTTAACGTCAATGTTTGTTCATGGATGTACGTGGTCTGGTCATAAACGTTAATGTTTATTCATGGTTGTACATGGTCTGGTCGTTTACGTCAGTGTTTATTTGTGGATGTACGTGGTCTTGTCATAAACGTCAATGTTTATTCATGGTTGTACATGGTCTTGTCGTTATTGCAATGTTCATTCATGCATGTACATTGTCTGATTGTTAATATTTGGTCGTCAACGTCAATGTTTATTCATGGTTGTACATGGTCTGGTCGTTAACGTCAGTGTTTATTTGTGGATGTACGTGGTCTGGTCATTAACGTCAATGTTTGTTCATGGATGTACGTGGTCTGGTCATTAACGTCAATGTTTGTTCGTGGATGTACATGGTCTGGTTGTTAACGTCAATGTTTGTTCGTGGATGTACATGGTCTGGTCATTAACGTCAGTGTTTATTTGTGGATGTACGTGGTCTGGTCATAAACGTCAATGTTTATTCATGGTTGTACATGGTCTGGTCGTTATTGCAATGTTCATTCATGCATGTACATGGTCTGATTGTTAATGTTTGGTCGTTGATGTACATAGTCTGGTCATAAACGTCAATGTTATTTGTGGATGCACATGGTCTGGTTGTAAACATCAGTGTTTATTCATGGATGTACATGGTCAGGTCATAAACGTCAATGTTTATTTGTGGATGTACATGGTCTGGTCATTAACGTGAGTGTTTATTCGTGGATGCACATGGTCTGGTCGTTAACTTCAATGTTTATTCGTTGATGTACATAGTCCGGTCATAAACGTCAATGTTATTTGTGGATGCACATGGTCTGGTTGTAAAAGTCAGTGTTTATTCGTGGATGCACATGGTCTGGTCGTTAACTTCAATGTTTATTCCTGGATGTACATGGTCTGGTCAGTAACGTCAATGTTTGTTCATGGATGTACATGGTCTGGTCATTAACGTCAATGTTTATTAGTGGATGTACATGGTCTGGTTGTAAACGTCAGTGTTTATTTGTGGATGTACATGGTCTGGTCATAAACGTCAATGTTTATTCGTGGATGTACATGCTCGGTTGTTAACATCAATGTTTGTTCGTGGATGTACATTGTCTGGTTGTTAATGTCAATGTTTGTCCATGGATGTACATGGTCTGGTCATAAACATCAATGTTTGTTCATGGATGTACATGGTCTGGTTGTTAACGTCAATGTTTATTCGTGGATGTACGTGGTCTGGTCATTAACGTCAATGTTTATTCGTTGATGTTCATGGTCTGGTCATTAACGTCAATGTTTGTTCATGGATGTACATGGTCTGGTCATAAACGTCAATGTTTATTCGTGGATGTACATGTTCTGGTCATTAACGTCAATGTTTATTTGTGGATGTACATGGTCTGGTTGTTAACGTCAATGTTTATTCGTAGATGTACATGGTCTGGTCGTTAACGTCAATGTTTGTTCGTGGATGTACATGGTCTGGTCATTAACGTCAATGTTTATTCTTGGATGTACATGGTCTGGTTGTTAACGTCAATGTTTATTCGTGGATGTACATGGTCTGGTCATTAACGTCAATGTTTATTTATGGATTTACATGGTCTGGTCGTCTTTTGCCGCATGTATCTGAAAAGAAATGGA